TTGGAAGAATATAATTGCTAGCTTTTTATGAAATATGTAAGGCTAATTCTGCAGTGAAAGGTCAGCCCTGTCTTGGACACTGAAGAGATGCCTTGATTTGGTCTTGTGTCTGTGATACCAAGCATAAGTCCTTGCAGTCTAACACTGGTATGTGGAGTTTTGAAAAATACATGCTGTGTGGCTTAGGTTCACAGGAACTCCCGTTTCTTTTCAAATATAGAATTTGTCACATTATCCTTACTTTCAACAAGTAGGAAGAAGAGATGGGACATGAAGCTTTTGGGCTAGTTTAAAAGGGAATAAATATTTAAAAACTCAGTGGTTTGGTTTTTATTTAATTTATAGAAATTTTAGGTAAGTCTTTGATGCTGACATCAGAAACGCCAACAGCAATAATAAAATAAATCTGAGTAGTTTTTTTTCCTCACTGATGCCTGCAGATATAGAATGACACAATATATTGTAGAAAATCCTTTGTTACAAACTTTTTGAAAGTTTTGGCCACTAGATAGGGAGTGGCAGTTTGCAGACAGTGCTGGGGAAAAACAAAAGGTGACAGTTTCATTGTATACTGTAACTATCATATTTTTTTTTCTAATGACTGGGAGGAGTAACTGCCACATGTGCTATAAATATAATTTTATATAGACAAAAAAACCTCAAGTAGGAAAAAATCTTAAATGGGAATAAGGAATCTGTTGGAAAAACGGCAGACTTTTTTCAGATGTCTTCTGTTGCTGGATATTGTCAGTTTGCTCTTAAATGAGTTCTACTGTCTTTTTTTACAGCCCCATATCTAGCATTTTAAAATTGCACTTTTATCCCTTCTGCTCTCTGTAAGCAGTAGATCAAATACATTTATGCTGCTCCAGAGCTATCTTCCACCTGGACTGAAAGGGACAGCAACCCAAGCCCATTTTTCTTCGGCAGGAGCAAATTGTAGGTAGGATTGACAATGATGAAGTTTCCCCTCATACTTGCAAGGCGTGTTTGTGAGAATGTTTCCCATCAAGTGTAAAAACATTACAGTTTTGGTCTTTCCATGAATTATCCTGTCTGCTTCCTTTTCTTTACCCTCACAGTATGTAAGTTTTCCTCCCTGTTCTCTGTTGAAGTTATTTCCTGTCCTTTTTCCATAATGCTGTCATTTATTATTGACCTAACACCCACTTTGTGTGATGTTGCTGATACTTTCTGAATAGTCAGCTGCACAGAGAATCCATTATTTAGCTTGGAGGGCAAACTCAGTGTTATGTAAGGCTGGAGAACAAATTTTATAGTTCCTTCCTGACATTTTGCTGTGCGTGTGAAATATCTGAAGTAAACAGTCATAAACTGTTACATCCCATTTTTTGAAAAAAGACACCGATTAAATAATGGGGGCCATGAGGATTTTTTTTTTTCTTCTAGTAATAAAAATTTTGAAATAAATTACATGGAACCAAATATCATTTGTAATTTAGCTTGAAGTAGTTTAAAATTCTCAAAGTTCCCTCCTCCAAAGAGGACATAACAGGGTATTCCCGCATCTTCCTTTAATGAAAAATCTTCAGGTAATCCAGTCTTAGGAGACTCAGGACTGTGATATTAGATGTGTGGGAGTTTCTGGTTTTCTGACATTAAGGAAGCCAGGAAGGAGTTCGTAGTGCCATAAAACAAGTCAGATCTCTTTTATTCCTCCGTATTCCCTCACTGGATGTGTGCAGAAGGAGCATACGCTTCATGTGAGGCAATGCCTTTGAAGGATGTGAGGCTCCTTCAGGAGGCCAGGGAATGTATCCATTGATGGGGCAGCGTGTCCCCCCACGCTGGTCAGCATCTCTGCCTGGGCTGTCTGTCCGTCCAGGGCAGGTGCTTGGCTCGCAGGCTGGAGCACAAGGTGGATGTGCTTTGGAACGAGGGTGTGTGGGCAGGATACAGGAGAGCAAGCTTCTCACACAGAGTTTGGCATTTAACAGGATTGGGAAAGCAATTTTTCTGAATAAATCTGCCTTGTAGTTTTGGTTAAAGAAGAACAGAAATGAGTGGTGGAGACAAGTCCATGCCTTTGTGATGGTGTAATGTTAAGAAGGGAAGAGACATGTCTGGCACAGGAGTATGTTTCTCAAAGGCACTCTTTTCTGCCCCTTGTTTTCAGGGAGGGCAGCCAGGATTCCACATGACAGAGGTTTTATTTTTTTGTGAGCAGATCTCACATAGCTCTTGTTAGCTAGCTATAAAATAGCTGTGAAAGGAAATGTTTTTAAGGAATTAAAAAAAAGTTTTTGACTTGTTAAACCTTCAGTGTTCTTTTGTAGAGTATCATATCACCACTGAACAACAAAGTGCTACAGAAGAACATGCAGAGTATTGGATTTTCAGGCATGAAAACCTCTGCTGACAAGTTCTCTTTATAAACAACAAATATCATAGTTTCTATTTTTGGCAAAAAGAAGTTGTTCAGTAAAATGGAACCATTCCTGAGTAATGATAAAATGTGGGACTTCCATACCCACTGAAGTCCACATTTAAAATGAATGTTTAAATACCTTTATGAAGTCTTACTTTAGGAAGAAATCTCAAAACTGAAAGGCTTGAGCAGCTTTGAATGCCAGTTTTGTTTATTTGTTCATAGAAGTTTTTAAAGATTGAATTTGTGTTTTAACTTCATTGTCAAGGATAGCAGTTTGAAATTTTCTGCTCACCTCAAGCAGTCCAAGGCCACGTTGCTGACAAAATAGGTGATCCCATCATTCCGTGATACCTTACTTGCTGACCTGATAGCAAGATGCTGATGACTGTGTGTCCGTGACTGTATTATGTGTTTTAGCAAGTGGAATATTTTCAAAAGAAAATAATTATTGAACTAGTCTTTTCTTATGTCCTGTTTAATTTGTATGTGATGTTGTAATGACGCTTCAAGATAGGAGATAGGAACTGGTTTTATAATAAAATGACAGTCGTTCACCTGTTTAAAACCTTAATAGAGTCATTGCTTCTGTTTTCTGAAAATTGTATTTTTTAACCCTGAGATAGCAAATAAAATTACTAGCAAGACATTAAAGAACTACTTTGGTAGAAAACCTGGAATTAGGATTTATATCACTCTCTATGTAAAAAAAAATCTTCTTTATTTTTTTAACTACAAGTATGTAACAAAGAGCCACACAAACAGGGTAGTTGCCTTCCCAGCTGCCATTTAAATATCTAACCTCTCTTCATAAGATGAAGAATAAACAGACTCTTTTGTCATTACATTTGAGGCCTTCAGCAGCCTTACAGAAGATTAAAACCGGGCAGTTGTAGCTGTCAGGGCCCCCAGCTGTCAGCTCCTGCACTGGATCAGATGTCAGGATTTCAGTCGGTCACAGCATGGAGCACAAAGCTGATTTCATTTACCCGAGAATGCCAATCTGCACTTTTTCATGGCTGAGGTGTGTACTGAGACAGCAGAGTTTTCAGATGTTCTCATTTTTGACATGGTGACATCTGTCAGAGGAGTGGGGCAGACAGATGGGAGAGGAACAGCTTCAGTCCTCTTATCCTCCTCTGTTGCTGTAACCCTGCCAGAGCCTGAGATGTGACTGTACAATGTGTGTGCAGGAGAATGACTGTAACTGTAATTAATCAATTAACATAGTTTCAGGATTTCCTCAGAAAGGCTGCGTATGATGAAAGCCAGTAATGTTTTTTCTTTAATTTAAAAATGCTTACAAAATTACAAAACCACTTTATTGTGTATTTTAAAACAACTGTTTGATATTATGTAGTTCATGTGAGTATTACCCAATGCAGCTTGACATCCTATAAAATAGAGATTCTATGTAAAACCTTCAAATATTTGAATAGTAAGGTCATCTGTCTTGTTTTCTTGTTGATGTCATGGGAACTTATAAATGTAATCTTTTTTTTACAGTTCCAGAAAGATAAAATGTCATTTAAAAATTTGTTTGTTTAGCTCTTTTATTGCTACAAGGTTTTATCCTTTTGTACAGTAAAATTTTATTAGTACAATGCATGTGAAGAAGGCAAATGCACATACTTCTTTATGGTTTTAGAGACAAATTAAATATATTAATTTAAGTTAGATTATTAACCTAAATATTATTTCCCCTATATAGTAGGGGAGTTGGTGTTCTGTTGTTATTTTTGAGGGGATAGGGGTTGTTTGTGTTTTTTTCCTGGTTATTTAATATTTTTAGCAGTCACCCCCAAACAGATATATTGTAATTGTATTGTAATGTATTGCTTATCTGCTCCTTATGCTGATTGATGTAAATACTTTTTAATTTTTAGCTTTTAGGTATATTTTTATTGACTCCTTTTTATATTTTTAGTTGTTGCCATTGCTGAGAAATTCAGATAAACTGTACTCTTTTTATAGGTCTGCTAGTACAGCTTGAAGGTGTAGTGTATAGCTTCATATACTCCTTAGTTTGTCTTAGTGGCATTTCTAATCTGGCTGGGATTGCTGAGTGGAGAGCTTTTTGTGAAGATGTTCACATATTCATCCACTACACATGAGTGTGACCAACTGTGTGTAAATCAGGGGTTTCTTTCAAATGCTCACATGTGAATATGCCGTATGAAACTTGGTGAAAATTTATAAGCCTGCTGCTGAGGAGGAGCTGGAGTTGGTTTTTAGAGAGGAGCTTTTTTAGAGAGGTTTTTGAGGGGAGCTTTCCTGCTAGAAGGAAGAATTGGATGGAAATTAGTGTACTATGAGTGTTGAGCCAAACTTTTTCATTCACTGTCAGGAAAGAATGAGAACTCTGCTCTTGACTAGAGTATCTGAGGGAGGTGGTTCATGCTGAGATAGACAGGAGAGTGAAACTGGCTGCAGAGGGTTGTTTTTCCATGGGACATCCTGTTGTTTTGGTTTCCTCTTGCTGATTACCATCGCTTAGTGATCTTGGGTTTGTCAGGCCACAGTGATGACTCAACTCCCCAGCTAAGTTCAAAAGTTTGTTCCCTCCAGGTTTTGTATCAGACTCACAGTCTTGTGTTCCATTCTTTTATAGACACACTCGTACTGTCACTGCACTGCCTCTGCCTTTAGACAGTTGGCTCATAATCTGCAACAGACTAAAGTAAATCTGCCTGCAAACCCAGCTGTTAGAGAAAGAAAGAATGGCATTTAACATTAAAAACACAGGTAGGGTTGAATTTATTGTTTTCTAGATTGAAACAGTTTTGGCACATATAGTCCGGAGTTAGCATTCCCATTGGATCTGAAAAAGGCACCGTCAACCTTGGAAATACTAGCAGTGTTTTTCCATTTTTGTTGCTCAGCAAAGTATCTTGTTTTAAAATAGCAACTGTTTTTTTGGAACATCTGTAGGAAAGTTTATTCTTAGGGATGACAATGAGATAATAAATAAAAAAATTTGTTTTCAGATGTCATTAGAAACAAATATTGAAACCCAAGTACATAAAAAACACAACTCAAAGGAATGAGGATGTTGATCTTACTTGCAGTGCTTTAGTTACCTGAAACTCATAAAACCTTAAACTGCCTGGTGTGTTTTGCTGTTCTGGGCTTATGTTTAAATGTTAATATGGCTGGTACTAAAGGCTGGCTTTAAAATGATCACTGGTTTGTGAAGGGTACAGTCTTCAGTAAATATAGTGGAAATACCCAGAAGTCATGCTTTGACTCAAAAAATTGTACCAGAGTTGCTTATATTTAAAGTAATTTGATTGCAAAGCAATGAGCACAATCTCTATGAAGGTAACATTCATAAAATGACATTACATTGATCAGAATATGTCCGTCTGACATTTGTCTTTGTATCATAATGTATTCACTTTGGGCTTGATAGAGCTTGGGTATTGATTTCCCTGCATTATTGCCATTATTCTTTATCATCACATTGAATGGTAGAATAAAGCAATTAATGAAATAATCTAACTTAAAACAATGAGAATTTTGTAATTTTTCTTCTGTTCAGATATAATCCTCTGATAGACATGGAGCCATATTTTGCTGGTTTTAAGCACATGCAGCAGGACTATGAAGTCACTCTTGAACTCGCAAGTGAAGAGACTCAAACTAAAAATGTGCAAAATTCTAGGACAGGGTCTTATGGTGTCAGCATTAGAGTCCAAGGAATCGATGGACATCCTTACATAGTACTGAACAATACAGAAGGATGTTTGCCAGAAAATCCTCCTCCTCCTGGAAAAGAACAGCAGGTCATTCCTCAGACTGTAAACAAGCCAGCCACGGACTCCAGTACTGCTTTTAAGTTGGAGGACAAAATCAGTGAACATACAACATTTTCTGGAACACAGCACGTGCAACCCTCTATGCCTAAAAAAATGCAGATAACCAATGTGAATGAAAAGGAAAGCGGACTGCCAGATTTTAAAGATGAAACAATGAAATACTCAAATCTGTTGAATTTTCAGAGACATCCTGAACTTTTGCAGCCTTATGATCCTGAAAAAAATAACTTGAACTTGGATAATTACCAGTCTTCTGTATGCAATAAATCTAAGTCTTTTGCAGATGAAAAAACTGAAGCAAAGCCTTGTATTTCCTCATCGAAAGTAGTGTCCCTACAAAAAACAAATACGTACCTTGCAGAGTCAACCAAAGCAAATTCAAAAAAAATACATCTAAACAGATCAGTAGAAGATCCAAATAAGCAGCTGCAGGATTGTCCAAGTAGCACAATCAGCCCAGGTGATGTGTGTGTTTCAGAGTCATTTTCATCTGCAGGAGGATCCCCCTGTGTTAGTCCCACTGCTTATCCTGAGACAAAGAAACCTAGACCAGATGTTCTTCCCTTCCGCAGGCAAGATTCCACTGGGCCAGTATTGAATGACTCCCGAAGATCCTCGTCCTCATCAGCTACTCCCACTTCTGCAAATTCCTTATACAGATTTTTACTGGATGACCAAGAGTATGCCATCTATGCAGACAATGTTAACCGCCATGAAAACAGGAGATACATTCCATTCTTGCCAGGAACTGGTCGTGATATTGACACTGGTTCACTTCCAGCAGTAGATCAGCTAATTGAAAAGTTTGATAAGAAAGTTGATGCTCACAGAAGAGGCAGGTCAGGAAAAAGGAACAGAATTCATCCAGATGATCGTAAAAGATCAAGAAGCGTTGATAGTGCCTTGTCATTAGGACTTGATGTAAATTCAGATTATTTAGGTGAATTCAGTAAAAGCTTGGGTAAGTCAACTGAGCACTTGCTGAGACCATCTAAAGTTTGCCTTCACAAGCAGTTATCCAGAGATCAAAAGTCACCTTCCAAAGAGACGAAGATGTCTGCTCGAAGTATTGGAAAACTGCAAATGCCCAACAAAGACACTCAGAGTAGCAGTTTCAGCTCTTTGCAACACCATAAACAGAATGGAACAGATACAGGCAGCTTGATGGGTAGATCAGCTACACTCCCAGGACAGAGTAAGAGAGAGGAAGTTAAAACAGTAACTTCTACTTTGTTGTTGCCAAACCGAATTACAATTACCCCTGAATCAGGAGCCAAGAAGATTTCTGTAAAAACATGTTCATCCGTCCCTAATATACAGGTAATTTTGAATTCATTCTTTAACCTGTTCTTTGCACTCTAGCATATGAAAGCTGTCATATTGTTAATTGTGTATTTTTCTGGTCTTCATTAGAACAAATTCCCATCATACAATACTTCCAAATGGGATTGTTCTGGAGAAATGTAAATATAATTTTTTGTTGTTGTTGTAAGTATAGAAAACCTGATTTGTAAAACAACTGGTTTTTGCATGGGCAAAGGAAGATGGTGAGGCCAAACAGGTTCTCATAAATGATGTTATGAAGATTCTTAAGCATAGATGCACAAAAGTAGAATGTGAAAAGGTATGTATGCAAAATCAAGTTGTTTCCTTTGGTGTGGAGTATGGTTTCTTATTGCAGTAAGGCAAAACTCCAGTGGATCTTTAGGAACTTCAGATCCATAGCACACAAAAGTTTTCACTAATAGGATAGAATAGGGAATTCCAATTATACTTTTTCTGTTCACAACTATCACAGGATTTTTATCTTTTGACTTTTGTCTTTATCTTTTAGGCAACTCCTGATCTGCTAAAGGGCCAGCAAGATCTTGCACAGCAAACAAATGAAGAGACTGCTAAGCAGATTCTTTACAATTACCTTAAGGAAGGGTCAGTAAACATACTTAACTTTTGGATAAGAGACTGCATTTTCTCAATATTTGTCTTCTATTAAATTTGAAATGTGAAACAGTAAAGTGAAAGCTATAATTAGATGAAACATCTCTGTAGATGAAACCTGTATCTCAGCTGTGTCCTCTACGCCATTATCTGATCTCAAAATACCCAGGTTACCATACTTACATAAGGTGTTGTAAGGATATGATTAAATGCACTTGAAACTTGTGAATCAGAATATGGTTTGTCTTTTAAACACATCTGGGATTAAACTTTATATAATATAGAGGTTACTGGAGAATACAAATAGTACCTCATGGAACTTTAAGCTTTCGGCTTTTTTAAACAGCAACAACAATGAATTGTTATTTCCTAAGGTTTGACAGAAACCCTCTGTGCTTTTAATACTTTGTATTTTCTACTGATAACTTATTGAAACGTAAAGGAAGGTTAAATTAATTAAAAATACATTATGCATTTAAGATTCTTTTAATTCTTGATATAGCAGGTTCTGGGACCTGTTCAAGTGTTGTTTTATGGTGCAGTAGTCAGGACTTCTAAAACTTAGAACTAACTACTTCTTATTTCAATATGTCTGAGTAATACACATGCTGAATATCTGTCTTTCCACAGCCATAATCTTGCAGAAGAGATTTGCACTTCAAGAGTTCGGGGGTCTTTTTTTCGTTTGGTTGGCTTTTTAGAAAACATTTGGAATACAAATTTTCCACTCCTCTCTTTGAAGATTTTAGCAAATCATAGTTACGATAATTTCTGATTTGTTAATATTATTTTGGGGTTTTTTTGTGGAGATTTTTATTCGTTTGGATAGTCTGAATTTGGTTTGATGTTAACAAAATAGTAACTTTGATCATATCATTGCTTATTTGTACTGTCTGTTTTAGAAGTCCTGATAACGACGATGCAACAAAGAGGAAAGTGAACTTGGTTTTTGAGAAAATTCAGACTTTAAAGTCAAGAGCTGCTGGAAAGACACAGGTAAAGAATTTTTCATTTGCTTTGGCTTGTTTCAAAGTAGTGCAGTATTCAGGCAGGGCCTTAAGAATCTGAATCTGACTTCTACTAGGCTATTCATGTAGAATATTCCCTCAGGAATATAGCTTAATTTTGATGGCACGAGAAGGATTAAATGCTTATTGCCTATTATTTTATCCTGGAGTATAATTAGTAAACATGATTTTTTTTCTTCATATTCTTCTTAATCTAGATATGCATGTGCTTTTTCAGAAGATTTTAAGTGTAGTTGCTCACAGCTCAGTTAGCATTTTTAAGAAATCTCTTAGTATTTGAGAAGGAGTTTGGAGCAATGAAGAAAAATGCTAGGTATATTCGTATGAAATTTCTTGGGTAAAGATAAAATTTATCTGCAGAAATAAATGTTAATCTTTTGATTGCAGTGAGACAGACATAGCATGAGAGACTCATATAGCTTTGGTTATTAATCACAGCATTATTTATTTGCAAAATACGTCCTAGGAAATTACCTAAAAAATGTATCTGAAAACCTGTCTTAACATATGGTCATGCTTTCCTTTGATGTCCATTTTGCATAATTAGTGATATCTCAGTAAAATTGGCGCAAAGTACACATGATTTGAGTAATATGTTGCCTAATTTGAATTTTTCTTTATGTTTGTATATTTTCTGTTTTATTGTCAACATGCCTTGAGCAATTACCAAGATGTTTTATGAAAACCAAATCATGGTTCCTTTGAAAATCTTACCTTGGCCTGACCCATATGAAAAATCCCTGGTGAGCTCAGGCAGTTGATTCTATGCTTTGTTAGTCTTGCTTGTAGCTTTGCTTTAGATTAAAAAAATAAGAAGCTATTCTCAAAGAACATATTGGCTTTGTGGAAATAAATGTCTCTATTTAATTGCAGGTTTTGGATTCTTCGGCTGAAGTAAAAGCATTGGTGGAACAAAAAGAAGAACTTGAAAGGAAAGTGGTAGAGTTAGAGAAAAAACTGGATCTGGAAATTAGGGTATGGAACTTTATTGTTATAAAGCTTCTGATTATTTTGGATACACTTTTTAAAATAAGTGACAACTAATCCTCCAGCTGAATCCCTTTTGCTTCATATTCTTCTTAATCCAGGTATACCTGTGCTTTTTCAGAAGGCTCTTTATTTAAGGGGTAGCTGGTCACAGTGTTGTTACCCTTTGTAACAAATCCATTCTTAGTATATGAGAACGCGTTTGGAGCAGTGAATAAAATTGTTAAGCACATGCACAAAGCACTTCTTAGGTGTCTGCTGAGGTAAATGTTAATCTGTCGCTTGCAGTGAGACAGACATAGACTAAGAGACAAACTGTATTAATCATGTAGCTTCTGTCATTTTGCTTAACTTCTGGTGTACAAAATTCAGAATCAGCAAAATTCCAAAGAAGAGAGAGATGCTACACGAGCAAGTCTGGAAGATCTTCAGTTGCAGCTTGATCAAAGTATATGTGAAAAGGAAGCCTTAAAAAAGCAGCTGGAAGAAAACGAGAAGGAACTCAGGCAAAACCTGGAGGAGTGAGTTAATTCTAGTAAAGTTATTATTGAAATGTGTACCTTTTCTTAAATCTTTTAGATTAAAAGTACCTGTGTCTCCAGAATATGTTCATGGAACCAGACAAGTGGCATTTTGTTACTGTAGGAAATGTTTCTACCATTTAGAATAGTCATGTCTTTAGAATACCTGTAAGGAAGAGAAAGATTGCTGAATTTATAATCTTCCTCTTAGTGCAAATTGCTTTTAATATTTCATGGTCCAAATATATAGTTCAAGTCTTTGAAATGTGGGAACGGTTCAATGACTAGAGTACCAGGTCTGAAATAAAATACAGCTTCCCTCTTAAATACCTGGTTAGAAGATTTCTCATTTTTACCCCTCTGACATTTTATTTTTCTGCCTCATTTTATCCCATTCTCTTGTGGCAACATGTGAATGTGTATCTTTTTAGTACTTGAATGAACAAGTTAGTATTTCTACAAATTAAAAAAATCCTATCTGATTTTTACTGATGAGGCTTTTTCAAGTGAAGATGGAGCAGGAAAAACACCAGACTGAGATCAGAGATCTTCAAGACCAGCTCTCTGAGATGCATGATGAACTGGATAATGCAAAACACACTGATGAAGGGGAGAAAGAGATTCTGATTGAGGTTAGTTACAAAATATCAGAAGTGGGATCAAAAATTGCATGAAAAGAGGAGACTAAGATACAGAAATACATACCTTTGCTTTTCTCTGCTATTAATTCAAAACAATGTAGCATTATTAGGGAACCTAAGAAAGCATGTTGCTATTAACCCCAAAAGGAATACAGAGTGTAAGTACCATTGTTTTATGGAGCAGGAGAACAGATATCTTAATGGTTGACAGACAGGTGAGTTATCTACTATTATCAGATAATAATCTCAGTCAGTTTTAGCAATTAGGAGTTGTTGTCAGAGCAGGGAAGATTAGTTTAAAGGAGATGTATATCTTATCAAAACCACGTGAGATTCACCTAAAAAATTTAAAATAACTGAACAAAGGAGCCTTTAAACTGTTTACTTTCTATTGGTGGGACCAGGGAGAGAAGGGATGAGTCTGGAGAGGAGCAAAAGAGTTACAGGGTTTCTGTCACCTTGGGATGAAAGAGGAATTGGCTGTAGCCCTGGTTATACTAATATGATGAAATAAACAACATAACTACCTTGTTTTGTATGGGTGATATTTGATTACTCTTAAATGAGTGTCTTAAAGGTCAGGCACTGTAACTGAAAGTTGAAAATAAGTAGGGAAATATCACAAATGATGATGATAGTACTGAAAAACATTACCTTTGAAGGACTTCAATCTGAATAGAGAAGTTAGGGAAAAGTCAAAAATACATCTTACAGAATGTTACTGTAAAGGTGATAGTGATCAATTTTTCTATGTTGTGTGAAGATAGAGTAAGAAATGAGAGATTTAGCTTCAGAGAGTCAAAGATTAAGTGTTAGAAAAAGTTTCTGTTAATACTGATAATTAAACAGAGGAAGATGCTGTGTGGGATGGTGGTAGGATCCCTTCCATTGTAGGCTTTTAATGGCAGAGTAGGTGCTGTGTCAGAAGTAGTTTAGATGTCCTGATCCTCCTTCAGTGGAGGGGAAGCCGGCATTCTCTTTGAAAGTACAATTATTCACAGTTGGAGAAATACCAAATTAGAGAATTCTTGAAGTGATAAATTTTTGATTGTTTCTGTTATTCTGTGTTTTTGTATGCATCTTTAGTCTTCAGATTTACTGACTCTCCAGTTCCTTCCCACAGATTTGTAGAAGGAAAATGACTTCTAGGGTTACCCTGGTGGGAGGAGGAAGGGTGTGAAGACACGGACTTGGTTGGGAAGCACTTGTTTTGTCTTCAGACTTGAAGAAGCAACTTTATTTATTTTTTCCAGCAGAAAAGAAAGCAAAGAATTATCACTCAGTTTGTTTCTCTTGCACCTGGGGGAAAGTGCTTTATCTTTGTTCTTATCTACCTCATTGTTAGTGCAAGCACAATGTAGGAGTGACTCCTGCATTATTTGCAGATGGCATAACATACACCATTAAAATCTTTTGGTAGTTTTGCAGCATCAGTTATGTTGACCTATTATATAAAACATCAGATATATGTTATACTTCTAATAATATTAGGGTTGAGAAAATTTTCAGCTTACTATAAAAGCTGTAAAAAATATGTCAATCATATGAAACAAAGGTGTCCTTGGGGAGCTTAAGTGCTTTCTTTCTGTGAGACATAAACAGAACATCCACAGGGGCTATTTGACACACAGCTGTGTTTCATTTTGGACTTTAGGAGCTGATGCAAATGAAGCAGGATCTGCAAGAAGTATTGATAGCAAAAGATCAACAAGAAGAGATTTTGAGAAAGAGAGAGAGAGAGCTCACAGCTTTGAAAGGAGCACTTAAAGAAGAAGTGTCCAACCACGACACAGAGATGGATAAACTTAAAGAGCAGCATGATAAAGAATTGCTGGATCTGCGACAGAGCCTGGAGAAAGCAACAGAGGTAGATAAGTGCTAACAATTACCTCTACAGGGGAAGATTCTACCTCTCTCAGATGCTGTGTACCACATACTTTCAGATACTACTATTTTGTTAGCAAAATAGGTAAAGATTTAGGCCAGGAGATTCTTGGCTGAGATTAAGTTTAGTTTCATACACATCTCATGTTTTGATTGATTGTCACAGCTGAAGTTGTGGTCCTTTCTTCAAGCACTTATTTACTGCATTTGCTTAATTGCAAACTTTGAGGGAGAATAGATGGGAGTACAGTGCAGAGAACCATTTGCTTGTCCTGGGTTAAAGAGAGTCACCAAGACCTTGAGGATGCCCTTGAAGAACATTGGTGTGCTTTGCCAGTCGTACTGTTGAAATAACTTCTAGCAGTTCTCTGTAGTTCTTTGCAGGCCACTGTTCCTACCTTCAGCTTCTTGTGTCATATCCTGTTCCCTGGCTACATTGTTCCACCTTGCCCATTCAAGTTCTCAATATCAGTGTGGGGGTTTGTGTTTTATTTTGTGTCCTTTTCATTTATTGAACTTAAGCTTGTTTACTGAATGGTCAAAGATATGTGAGCACAAGAAAACAGCAGGGGTTTGGGTGTTTTGAATTGGACAGGAAGAAAACAGAATTGAAGGAATTGCCGCTTCTGGCACCTGCAGGAAGTCTTTGTGAGAGGGAGAATAGGAACAGGTTTCAGACATGTGTATTATTGTTTTCCAAAAGATGTCCTTTGTGAAATTTTCTTTATAGAGACAGCAGGTAGGAACATATTGAAATATTTTTTGGTATGAGGACAGTTCTCCTTAACTTTTGAGCATTCTTTTTACAGTGACAGCTTTTTGTGTCTTTTCTGTATTCCTTAATTTTATTTCTCAAATGTTTGAGAAAATTTCTGCAGGCAAATGAGGCTTGACCAATATGTCAGAACTGTAGGCCTAGTTTTATGCTTAGACATATCCACGCTAATTTATGTCTGTTACCTACACTGGTCTTAGGTGGGTTGTGGTTATCCTGCTGGTTGTGACCTAAAACATAACATGGAACTGAAGGAAAATTAAGCTTGAAGCTGGAAATAAGTTTCCAAAGCTTTATATGTTCTATGAGCAAAGTAGGAGCTCATGTGGAAGATGCTGGATGGGTATTGTATGATTGAATTCTGACAAAAGATTATCCTTTTAAAGGTTTGTTTTAAATGTGACATTTTCTTCAGAGGTTAGAAAATTTTATAAATGCTAGTTTGTTTATGCAGCCTAGGACTTGTACTTGAAGTTGTTCGGCTTTGCTTAAATGTGTTGCTTCACTTTGTTTTACATCATGATGAAGATACTTGACTTGTCTGAGCTGCATGAACTGAATTAGTTTTTTTTTCTTTGAGAGAAAAGTAGAACATTTAAATTATCATTTTTTATTACACAGTAATCGTAGTGACAGCTCAACCTCAATGAACCATCTTTTCAAAGTTAGTGCATGGTAATTTACTGTATTTCAATTATGGAGCTGTAATTACAGCTGACAAGAAATGAAAGAGTAGTCTGTTTGGCATAACAATAACACAGCCTGGGAAATGGCTCTATGACTGGTTGCTGTGGCTTAGAGATATTTATAAATAGCATTTATTTACTTGCATGACATAGTCTGTATACTGGTAAACTTAATAAAATGTACAAAAGTGAAATTAGTTTGTTAAATTTTGGTCTAAGTACCAGTTCTCTTCCCATTTGAGTAGAAATTTTTATTTCTATTTGAAGTAAAACTTTTAGCATGTTTAATTGGAAGGTGTTTTTTTTTTTTTTGAATCTTGCTAGTATTTGTACTCAATGATTTCTTGAAGCACAGCATTATCTTCATTATCTTTATGCCTGCTAGCTGAGATTTGTTGTCGAGTTTGATATATCATTTATCAGGAAAGTATAACCATTTTCTGCAGGAAGTTTCCTGACTGATCTGCTGTGATCTTATATATATTGTTAATTATGTGATCTATAATTAATCTGCAATACCCAGGAGACATATACGATTGAAACTACTTGGTCTGTTAATTTTTTTTCATATATTACTGCAAGCTGGAAAATACCTGATGGCAGGACACAAGAAACCTGCATCAAAGATGAGTGGGAAGGGCCATTCTGTTGTTTTTGATGAGGAAAACAGGAGTGTAAATGCTGTAATAGTGGTTTGTCATACAAAAAATGTGGATACGGATGTTTGATGGATCAGGTTGTGTCAGGACCTCTATGTACGAGAGTGCTTGTACTTGTGTCGCTTCTAAATCATCCAGATTGGTACAATGAATAAAGGTGTTTTGTGATATATAGGCTGTTAAGGAAGTTTTAGCATGGAGAAAGGAAGTAGTTTTTATGCCAGTGTTAAATCAACAGAATTTTCATCTGCTGGAGGTGTCAGATAAGTTGGCAAGTAATGTGAAGTGCATTTAGTCTGTGTGATTTGAATGCCACATAGATCTGTTTGCAAATAATGTTAGAGACATACTCAAGTTTATCTGATAGAAGAACAGAGCAGGGTTGTTTGTCATCATGATTCTGTTCTCATGCTCACTAACATGGTAATAGTTTGGGGGTTTTTTGTTGGGTTTTTATTTTTGTCATTATCTGGTTTCTGCTTTTTTAAATAGAGAATTTGAAATTAAGTCACAAATATTAAGATATTCTTTTTCTTTGCTACAGTTTACCTTTTTAACTTATTTTTGTGTTGTGTCTTTTGCTTGTGGTGGTCTTGAGATGGCTGTGACTATTCTTGACTTCATTGCTCGTTTGTTGAGACTGAGACCGGACTATTTCCATTTAACAATAGGAAAGGTTTTGTTCTTCCATGACATACCTGTGTGGGATAACAATTACCCTTAATTTAATAATAAATTTGAAAAATAATGTTGTTCTGATTAAGAATATATTTCTCCATTACTGCAAGTGCTAGAACAGAGATTAATATGAATTCCACTCCAGTTTTAATGTTGTAGAAAAATTTCTATTTTTTAATCTGAGTCTACAACCCAACAGTCCAGGATTATACTATTTTAACCATGAGTGCTCTCTCACTGTAGATGAAGTGCCACTGTTTCAGTAAAATTTGAAAATAGCTTTTGGAATGTAATGCTGTAGGTAAAAGATTGTAGCACGTTTCAACTAATATGATTCTAATTTCTCTGAAATTGTAGTAGCAGCTCAGAAGGGCAGTTGCAAACTTCAAATTTAGTTGCACAGCACTTCAAATTTGCATCTGCATTTAGAGAAGCTGTCTGAACAAATGATGTTGTTCGGAAAAAGCTGTAATCATCATGTTTGGAAGAGGTTTATCTGAGCTTGACCTTGACTGATTTATTTGGCAGGTCATATGTCTGACCTTGTTCTCAGAACGGTAATACAGACACTCAGAGTTTAGAGCTGATTCATTTATCAACGCATTTAAGAATGCAATGAAGCTGGTGATCACGTTACCATTAACACATGTATGTGTTACATATGATTATGTTATAATTAAAGAGAAGAAGGAATTTTACCAGAGCAAATGTAGGAACAGCAAAAGACAGTGGTTGCCTTCTGCAGATGTTATGAACTCAAATGTTCCTCTTTTAAGATAAGAAAAAAATATAAATCTCTGGTATTGCACATGAGAAGAAGCTTTGGTTTTGGTTTTTTACCATCTTGTTAATTTAGGTGAATCTAGCACAACCTGTAAAGACCTTTGAAATGAAAAGTTACTCAGGGAAAAGTGAAGATACAAGTATGGAGCATTGCAAAACCACTTTGGTACTTTAAGTGATTTAATATATGTAATGGTAAAACTATATATATATGAAAAAAAACCCAATGCCTTGTTTCATGCTGAAGTGAAATCTTGGGGCTATAATGAATCATGCCAAAAACTCATGGTCTTTATAGCAGTAAAAGAAACAAATGATAGAATAAGAATTACTTGGGCATGGAAATCATTAGCGCTCTTATCCGTACATCCGCAATTCATCTGAATCTGCATCCTGAATGCTGTGTCTGAGGCTGGTATGTTCACCTCAAGCAAGACACATAACAATTGAAAAAGATTTAGAGAAGGTGATCTGGGATTAGAAATGCCACTGGTGGGTATTTTCTTTCTTCTGACTGCCTGAGGCAGCTTTTGTCATGTTGAAATAACACTTTTTGTTTCAGTTCTAGAAGCTGGTTGGTAATGGATCTAAACTGTGTACAGAGTCAAAGGGTAGAGTGAATGGTCCAAGTCAATATTTCATCTTTCCTGACGTAACCCCTCTTCCCCTTTCATTTTCTGTCCCTTTTACCAGCCTTCTAAAAGACTAGTACGATTCTGATTGATTTTCAGTGTGGTACAAACATAGATGGAGTGGGGGAAAGAGAGGGAGGGTAAGCAGACAGAAGTGTGATGGTGGAAGGAAAGCTGGAGACACTCCTTCAATAGGTATCGTTATTGGAAACACCTATTTCAGAACTGTATATGAAAAGTTTGGAAGACAGATTTGAGTTGTTTTGCCCAACCTGTCTGTTCTGTGTGTGGAAAGGAAGTTGGTAATAGCATCTTGCATGTTTTCAGGACCCATTTAATGAGGAACCAAACAAATGATGGAATATTAGTATTGTCAACACGAATATAAAATGTGCCTCTAAAGCACTCTGAATACCTAAGTTGGTGACTGTGTCTTTAGGTTCCACCTCCTCCAGTCCTTCATTTCCATGCATTGGAGGAGTTTACTCCTCCATTTATTTGGTGGATATTTGTGTTGTGTGTGGGTTTGGGTGCAGACAGTACCATGAAACTACAGCTATTCTGTATGTAGAGTTAAGAAAGCCTGTAAGCAAAATTGTCCTGCAAAATTCTGTTTGAGTTGGATTGGACCACATCTATAGGATAATAAAAAAATAGTCCTGTTTATCTGAAATAGTAATTGTCACTATTGTGGACCTTCCTCTGCTAGGTTTATTTCAGTAAGACTGGGTTAGGAAGGGGGGTTGTTTGCATGATTTTTCATTTTCTTT